AATAAGACCCAGAAATGCTGTAGAGTCGTTGTCTCTGGAGATCCTCAGAACTTGATGGGTCGAGGCTCTGAGCAGCCTGCTCTAGTTGGTCATGCCTTAACAAGAGGGTGATCACAAGGAGCCTACAGCTCCCCTGAACCTTAGCTACTCTGTGACTTCACAACCTGAGAAATGTGAGCTGAAGACCTTTCCCAGGCCATTTTTTGGAAGGTCAGAGGTGAAGAGCATCTTTATGGAGCTGCACCTCACCAGCAGAGCTGCCTTGGTGAGCCAGAAGGGTTTGCCCTTGCTGTATGGCCAGGAAAGTCCCATATAGTGACCCTGGATAGAGTTGGAGCTAGAACCAGGGCTAGAGCTGGTTTTAGAGGTTTTAGCTGGTTTTAGTTTTAGCCTCTCTAAAGCTAGAGAGGGCTTTACATGTCCCCAGAGATGATCCTTCTGGCCAGGGCAGAGACATGCTGGGTCCTTGAAACTGGTCTGCCTCTGTGGGAGAGGGAATGAGATAAAGCAGAGTGAGAATTAGTGCTGGGCTCATGCTGGGACAGCCAGCAAGGCCAGGACTGAAGGGCAGGAGGGTCGTTCCCTGCAGAGGAATTGAGAATGCCGGTGCCTGGGTTTTGGGGAGGTGCTGGGTGTGTCCACACGCAGCCAGGAGGCTCCGGAAGAGCTGCAGCTGCTTTTTGCTGTCCTCAGGAGTCGTTCCCCAGCACACAGGTCCAGCACCCCTGCTACCCCAAGGGCTACAAGGAGACCGTGTCGCTGTCCTCGCTCCGCGCCAGCCCCTGCACGGACGGCAGCGACCCGCGCCTGGCCCTGGGCGACAGCGCGGTCACCCTGGAGGGCCGGGGCAACGCCAGCGCCTGCCTGGCAGCCCTCAGGAGCCTCTGCAACTTCTCGGCGTGCGGCCAGAGCCAGGACTGCGCCTTCCACGGTGTCCCCCAGCCCCCGCTCCGGGGACAGTTCATCGTAAGGCAAACCCGTCCTCCCACCTCGGAAAGGCTCCCCCGGGGCTGGGCTGTCCCCGCTGCCCCGTGGCACTGTCACCTCCCTGCAGGAACAGGGCAAGAGGCTCCCCAGGCACCGCTGCCTGAGGGCACACTGGCCGTTGCTGCTGGGTGCTTTTCCAGCCAAACCTCCAAACGGGACCGTGCTGAGAGTCATCGAATCCCAGACTGGTTTGGGTTGGAAGGGATCTTCAAGCTTATCTTGAGCTCCCCTCGGCTGCCACGGGTAGGGACAGCTCCCACTATCCCAGGGTGCTCCAAGCCCTGTCCAACCTGGCCTTGGGCACTGCCAGGGATTTGTTAATAAAACAGGGCTTGTCAATAGGAGTTGAGACAGCAGCTTCAGGCAAGGCTCTGGCTGTGCTGCTGTCACCAGCAGGCACCAACCCCCAGCCCAGCACCTGCTGGGACAGGGACAGGGACAGCAATGCCCCGGGGCTACCTGGGCTGGGACAAACCCCGTGAAGGAAAACCCCACCTCCTGCATTGGGCAGCTGCTGGGGGTGCCCCATGCAGCTCACCAGGGTTTCTGTCTCTGTTTCTGTCCCTTGCCTTGCAGGCCTTCTCTGCCTTCTACTATAACTTCAAGTTCCTGAATCTGACGGACGGGCAGCCGCTGGCCGCGGTCAGAGAGGCCATTGAGGGGCTCTGCAGCAGGAGCTGGGAGGATGTATGCTCCTCAGCATGGAGCCACAGTGGGACATGCAGAAGCAAAGGGGTCCTGGGGTGGGGGGAGGCAGTGGAGACCACTCCAGGGCAAGGCTCTCTGGTTCTGAGCTGTGTCCTACACAGCAGAGCCACCCCTGAGCTCTGTGTGGAGCTGGGACTGTCCTGCATCTACTCCTTGCTCATTCACCCTTGGGAAAAGGGCAGCTAGGGCAGGCAAGGGCAGCAAGCAGCTGGGGGGTTGAAGGTGGGGATGGGGATGGAGGTGGGGATGGGAATGCCAGGGAGGATGGTGAGAACAGAGCCAGCTGGTGGCACCATGCTGGAGACAAGTCAAATCTTGGAATCATAAAATTCCGGACTGGTTTGGGTGGGAGGGCTCATCTTGTTCCACATCCCTGATGTGGGCAGGGACACCTTCCACTAGACCAGGTTGCTCTAAACCCATCCAATCTAGCCTTGAGCACTTCCAGGGATGGAGCAGCCACAGCTCCTCTGGGCAATACGTGGGGGTGGATAAACCCAGAAATGTGCCAGCACCACCATGGGGCAGAGTGCAGGAGCCCCTTACATGAAGAGGCTGAGATGGAGAATCTGGGGCAGGAGGAGCTACAATAAGCTATAATATGTACCTCTGTTTCCATGTGGAGTGTAAATCCTCCCCAAAGGAGTTGCTCTGCATAGAGAGGTCTAAAATCACTGCCCGACCCAGGAGTCTCTTCCTGGATGCTAGTGACTGTGGGGCCACTGCTGCTCATGCAGCACATTTCAGGGCTTTGTCTCTGCACAGAAAGTGCCTGTCAATAACTCCCCTTCATCCCCAAACATTCCCCACCCCAGCTCTCTTCCAGCTACCCCACAGAGAATCCCAAGCGACTGCCGAAATACTGTGCCAATGCCAACTACATCCTCACCCTCCTGCTCGACGCCTACAAGTTCAATGAGAGCAGCTGGAACAACATCTGCTTCCAGATGAAGGTGGGCAGTGCTCCCAGCCTGTGAGGGGGAGCAGAGGTGGTCCTGGGGGAGAACCAGCCCATGTTAGGGTGCTGGGGAGAGCCAGCCCCTGTGTGGGGGTGCTGGGGAGGAGCCACTCCCTGCGTGGGGGTGCTGGGGAGAACCAGCCCCATGCTGGGGTGCTGGGGAGCAGTGGTGCAGAGAGCCCTGCCTGCCCCCGATGGCACTGCTGTGGGCTGAGCAGGATGGTGGGTGGCCCTGGGCCAGCAGTGGCTCCCCTGCAGGGCTGACCCTGTCCCCTCTCTTAGGGCAGGGCTGACCCCATCCCCTCTCTCAGGGCAGGGCTGACCCCATCCCCTCTCTCTGGGCAGGGCTGACCCTGTCCCCTCTCTTAGGGCAGGGCTGACCCCGTCCCCTCTCTCTGGGCAGGGCTGACCCTGTCCCCTCTCTCTGGGCAGGCTGGGGGTGCTGACGTGGGCTGGACGCTGGGGTACATGCTGAACCTCACCAACATGGTCCCGGCCGAGGCTCCAGCCAGGCTGAAGGGCCACAGGTCTTCCCTGTGGGCTGCAGCCATCACCTTCATCATCCTCACCCTCGTCTTGGGGCTCGCTGCCCTGCTCCTACAGCTGTGGGTGTAGGAGCCTGGCCATGTTTGGGAGCCCATCAGGGACAGACTGGGGCTGCAGGGCCTTGCTGGAGTCCCCCTGCTCCTGCCTGCATAACTGGAGCCCAGGACTGGGTCTGTGCTGCTGAGCAGAGTCACCTCCACAGCTCCAGAGAACTGGGGTCTGCTTTTCCGTGGGCCTGGCCCCCATCATGCAGACAGGCACTCTGAGGTTTCCAGAGGAGTTCCACTTCCATGGAGACACAATGGGACCAGCCTGCAGAAGCCTCAGCCGAGCCTGTGTGCCTGCTGTCAGTGCTCTGTGTGTTACAGACATGGCTCCATTCCACCAGCTGGCCCTGGGGCTGTGGAGGGCCAGCCTGGCCATGGGACAGTGCCCTGGTGCCAGCCTGGTGGGGCACGGGGCAGGCACTCCAGGGTGCTCCATGCAATGCCAGCTCTGAGCATGGCCACCAAGAGCCAGCAGGTCCCTGCTGGGTCTGCCAGCCTGAGGGATGCTCTGTGGGACCCCAGCTGGCCCTGTGGAGGGGCTGTGGCTGGAGCTTTCATGGAGATGGTCTTGGAGAAAGGACACTGAGCACCCACAGTCAGAAGCGTGGTCCATGCCCCTCCGGAGAGTCCATCTCATCACCGTGGTATGGCATGTCAAGTCATCTCATCATCACATCTCACCACCCACCTCATCCTCTTCCTTTTCACCTGGAATAAAGGGATTGATGTTCCTCAGTGCCTTCCTGGAGACAGCACTGTCCCACCAGCAGAAGCCTGGACCCCATGGGTGTCAGGATGAGGCTCCAGCAGGCTGTGAGTCCTGCCCTGCACATGGCTGAGCTGGGTCCTGCCCATGGCCTTTGCCTTTGGTTCTGCTCATTTTTAGCTGCTCTGTGGATGATTCATGCTGTTGTTTGCGTTCCCACAGTGAGCAGCAGACCTTTGGTATCCCTGTGGAATGCTGGGCACCTCACAGTTCTCATCATCCAAATAAACAAATAAAAGGCAGCACATGGGGAAATGCCTGCTACTCTGCTTCCAAATCGTTGTGATTTTATTACTTCTGTCTCCCAGAAGTGATTTTATTACTTTGTCCTGTGGTGACGACAGAGACTCAAAGGTGAGGCAACGAATCTATGGGAGGTGTCCCTGCAGACACTGAGGTGTCTGCTGAACTTTGGAGTGGAGCCAACAGGGCACAAGGACAGGCTTTTCCTTCTCTGAGGAGGTGTCTCAACTCACCCATCACTTGGCTGCCAACAAGACTCCCCAAAAATGTACAGGGGGCCCAGGAAGCTGCCTCTGCCATGTCCCAGCAGTGTTCCCAAGTCACCCTGTGTTGGAAAGGGAGGGTGAGCTGTCTGCCAGCCACGGGTTGCAGCTGGACTGGAGAAGAACCTCATTGCAGGAGAGGAGGCAGCTGTGCCATCCCCCCCTCACAGGGCTTCCCAGCCCTAGGCAGAGCCCTGTCTACCAGGCCAGTGTCCCAGACATCCCCAAAGCCACGGCCCCTGGGGCTGGCACTGGCTGTGGGAGATGCAGACCCTGGCCCTGGGATGGGGCAGGATGTGTTTTTCCCACCCTGGGTTTCTGCTGTGGGCTGTAAGCAGCCCTGTGACAGTCCCACTGCTGCCAGACCCCCCAGCCCCCATCTCAGCCACCCCACAGCACCCCTGCCCCTCATGGCCAAGCCCTCCCTCCTGGAGCATCTCCAACCAGCAGCGCAGGGAAAGGAGAGCCAGAGAGCACACAGCTGTGAGGAGGGTGTTTTACAGCTGTGCCAACTCCAGCTCACCAGGCCAGGAGTCAGGGCCCCCCAGGACAAGTCTGTGGCCCCTGGGCACACAGGGTGATTCTCGGGAAGTAGCTCCTTGCAGAGGAGTGGCAGCAGGACCCGGCCTGGCAGCCTCTGGAGGCAGTGCTGCTACAGCTGCTCATAGCCCGAGGAGTTTCTGTGGCAGCACGTGGCTGTGAGCAGGCAGAAGATGAGGATGAGCATGATGGCCAGCAGAAGTGTGGCTGCTATCCAGATGCTTCTTGGGAGCTCTGTGCCTGCTGTGGGAGGCTCTGAGGGGATCAGGTTGGTGAGATTGAGCATGTAGCCCAGAGTCCAGCCCACATCTGTGTTAGCAACCTGTGCAGACAGACAGGGAAGAGGGATGGGAAAGGCTGCAAAGTACCAGGCAAACTAGAGAAGAGCCTGCACCCTCAGGTCCTGCTCCACAACCACCATTTCTGTGCCCACCTTGGGCTGCAGAGGCCCCAGCAGTGACATAAACTGGGGGAGAGCACAAAGGGCCAGGCCAGATGTGCCAGCAGCTGTGTGAGTGTAGCTCAGAAGCTGCCCTGGGTATGGGCAGTGGGGCTGTGCTGCCCTGGTATCCCCCGTCCCCAGCAGCAGCAGGGTAGGCACAAGGCACTTCATGGCACAAAGTGTGGAAGCTGGGGGCTGCTGGACACTCTCCTACCTGCTGGATGAAGTGGATGCTGGGCCATGTTGTGATGTTGAATTTGTAGCCTTGCAGGAGGAGGGTGAGGATGTAGGAGCTGGCTGTGCAGGCGTCACGGAGCTGGGTCCTGCTCGCCGTGGGGAACAACTCCTGCACCTGCAGAGGTGGGAGAACAGGGGGAGGCTGGACCCAGAGCAGTGCTGGATGTGCCCACATTGGGGAACAGCCCCTCAGTGCAGCTGGGAGCAAAGAGACCCCGGGGAGCAGCAGGCTGCTCTCCCATCTCTCTCCAGGCACAGAGACCTTTGTGCTCCTCCTGGCTCTCTACAGCTGAGCACAGCAGAGGAGGGGCTGGGGATGAGCCTTCAGGCTGCCCAGTGCCCAGGTGAAACACACTCCTGGGCAGGATCTCACCTGTTTCCAGCTGCTGTTGCATATCTGCCTGATGGTGGCATTGACCAAGCTCAGGGGCTGCCCTCCTGTCAGGTTCAGAAAGTGAAGGATGTGATAAAACCCTGAGAAGGCCTGTGGGAGTCAAGACCAAAGGTGACAGGTTATTGAAGCACTCAGGGCACAGATGCCACCCACCCATAAGCAGGGATCCCTGTAAGGCTCCGCTCAACACTGCAAGGTGCCGGCAGTGACCCTGGAGGAGGGAGCTGGGAATGCTGCCCACAGGGAATGGCGTTGGGAGAACAGAGGTCTGTGGCTACCTGGCACACAGGTCAGCACCCCCTTGATGGTCTGCCAGAAAGTCTCAGAGCTGGCCCACAACCCTGGGGCTGTTCTTGCACTCTGAGCTAGCTCACACAGGCTCCCTCAGACAAGGTCTTCCCGTTTCCCTCAGGGAATGCTGGGGCATGGCAGGAGGCAGAAGCCACCTCTGAGCACAGAAGAGGTTTGCAGATAGAACCAGCCCCGAGGATCCCTCCCTCCCCGGCCCGTTCCACAATCAGTGGCAGAGGAGACACCCAGTCCCTGCCTTCACCCTCCCCCAGGCAGGGGACGGAGGCTGCTTACGAAGAACTGTCCCCGCACGGGGGGCTGATAGACCCCATTGAACCCGCACGGCCCCTGCGCCCCGCAGCTGAAGTTGAAGAGTCTCCGCACGGCCGTGTCACACGCGGCTGGATCCCCTGTCCCCGTCACCGTGAGGACAAGGCCAGGGCTGGCTGAGCTTGGCGCATGCACACAGGGGCTGTCGTAGAGCTCTGCCACGGTGATGTTCTCCTGGTACCCCTGGGGGTAGCAGGGGTGCTTGATCGGGGTACTCGAGCTGGCCTGGAGAGAGATGGAGCCATTAATGGGGCTGCAGTGCCCACTGAAACCCTTCCCACAGCCCATCCCAAAAAGCAGGACTGCACCCTAGGAGGACTGGATGCACCCCACCTGGGAGCTCCCTGAGCAGCCCTGGCTCCCGCAGCACTGGGCTCTGCCTCTGTCCCCGGGCAGTTGTGCAGGGACTGTGCTGGGAAACTTCTCTCTGGGCAGAAATGGAGCAAGGCCAAGAGCATGGTGACAGCAGAAAAACTACACATACAGCTGGGCTTGGGAAATTACAAAAAATGCCACTGCACAACAAGATGTGGAGAGAAGGGAGCCTGGCTGGCAACCACCATCACTTTCCACCCAAATGAGGCAATTTTTTGCTTCCCTAGATAAAACCCAAGCCTCTGCCAATTCCTGACTCATTGCCCACAGGCACGCCCAACGCTGCAGGGGGAGATGTGCCACGGCACTGGGAGATGGCTGAGCAGCCCCCGTGCCCCGTGGCACCTGGTGCAGAGCTGCCAGCAGCATCTTCAGGGCCTGGCTCTGCCCGTAGCACAGGTAGCTGTGGCTGTACAGGGAGTAGTTGGTGCCGTAGAGCCGGAAGAACACGGACGTGTTGCTGTCCTCCACGGGGACCCCGGGCTGGAAGGTGATCTGCGTCGAGGCACCGCCGAGGTCCAGAGCTCCCAGAACCTCGGTGTCCTGGGGATGTTCCCATTTCTCTGCAAACGAGAACTGGCCCAACACACAGCGAGGGTTAGGCTGAACTGCAGGCACTCACACTCACACTCCCTTCCCACAAGGACTTGGGGGCCCCAGGGGCACCTTCCACGTGCTCCCGGCTCCCTGTTTTACCCCTGCCTGCCCACATCTTCCTCAACCACAGACACTTCCACGGAGCACTCAGGTGTGGCCTCTTGGCTGCTGCACATCTGCTGGGATCCAGACATTTGGAGCAGGGATAAAGGAACCCTGCTCCAGTTCAGCCTGGAGGCTGATCCTGCTGACAGATCCCTGGGACCCCAAAATCCACCCGTGCGTCAGCACACGAGAGCACAGGGCCAGGCCGAGCTGGACACAAAGATCCTGTTAATCCCATTAATGAGGTGGAATCTGCAGCCCACAACCACAGGGGACCTTTGGCTGCCTGACCAGTGCCCCAAAGCTCCATTCCTCCCTCCTCTGCAGATAAGGAAAGCTGGCTGCAGCTCAGACAGGGACGTTCTCCCCACTGCCCCTCCCCTGCCCTCTCCCCAGCTGCACCTTGACCAGTGTCTCCAGCAGGTAGTTGACAGTGATCCAGCCAAAGGAGCCCTCCTCACTCCCCGTCAGGATCCGAGCTCCACGGAAATCCACAGGGTACTCCCCAATGGCCTTGGACACCTCGGCCAAGACCTGCTCGGCCTTGCTGCTGTTCTCCTCCCTGCCAGCAAAGGCACAAACACCTCAGGTGCTGCAGGCCCTGCCTGGCAGCTCTGGCAGCCGGGTTGGCACTGAGAGGCTGCCGAGGAGCTGCTCCCAGACATCTCTCCAGCACTGCCCTGCCTGCAGGTGGCTCCTGCAACCCCCAAATCCCTCACCCGGGGCCTCGGGACTCTCCCTAAAAACGCTGCCCGCAGGCTCTGCTGGAGCCCTGGCAAAGTCCGTGCCACTCTGGCAAAGGGGGCTCATCCCCTCTGGGCCGCTGCCAGGCCGGTGCTGCAGAGGGCCGGGCGCGTCCCCCGGGCACGGCCAGCGGCTCTCCCGGACACCCCGTGGCACCGCGGGCAGGGCTGCTCTGCCCATCCCCACGGCCTGGCCGGGCAGCACCCCCGTGGCCCGGCCCCTGCGCCCCGCTGCCAGCCCCGGCTCCGGCGCGGCGCAGAGCGCGGCAAGGGCGGGAGGTGCCGGTACCTCAGCAGCCGCATGCCGGCCGTGGCCCCCAGGTACGTGGGGGTCTCCCGCTGCTGCTCGGCCGGGACGATCTTCATGGCCCTGTCCAGGCAAGGCTTCAGGCTGGCGCCAGCCCCCGCGGGATCGTCTGCGTAGCTGGAGATGCCAGGTCCTGCCACAGGCAACCGGTGACGGAGAGAGCCCAGCGCCACCCCGCAGGGACGGCACAGCAGGGGACATGTCCACCCCTTCCCCAGGGAGCTCTGCTGGCCTGCTCAGACACACTCAGGTGTCCCAGCCATAGCGCCCACCCTGCTCGGTTTGGAGCTGCAGATACCGAAATGCAAACTGCTGCCCCAGGAGCTCTCAGGCCCCACCTGAGTGGAGACAGGGGACTGCTCAGGGACTTGCGCAGAGCTTTGGGGAGGCCCTGTGGGCACATGAAGCTGGACATAATGAAAGAAGGTGTAAACTGATGTGGTAAGAAGAGCCAAGGAAACTGAGGCAGGGGAGAAGGAGCAAAGGGCACATCCGGCATCCCAAGCTGTGAGGTGATGCACATCTGGAAAGGACTGGCTGAAGGATCTGAGCTAAGTGGGGGCCCAATTCTTCCCCCAACTTTGCACCTCCCAGTGACTGTAGGATTCCCTCAGGTGCAGATGATCCCGACCCTTTCCTGTGATTCCTCACAGGGCAATCTTCTTTCAGCCCAGAGCAGGCTGAAAGGGATCAGTGATGGTGCTGTGAGAGTTTGGGACAGTGCTCCAGGAGGCTTTGAGAGAGGGAGGGCAGATCCCAGCACTCACCGGACACAGAGCAGGCCTCCACCTGGGACACGATGCCCGTGCCGTTCTCCTTGTCCGCGCGCCACCGGTAGATGTAGAGGGACGTGTGTGTGGAGCCAGCATCAAACACCAGGCCGTGCTGGGGAGGAGAGGGGACATGGGCTCACAGCTGGCCCGGGGCTGCACCAAGTGCCACGGGGGTTTCTGAGAGCTTCTGCTCCTGCTTCCCCTGTAGGACCGTGAGCAGCAGGGGTCTGCACATCACCCTCCCTTCAGCAGCCCTGCTCCACCTCTAACAGCCCCGGGTTCGCCACTCAGCGAGTCACAGCCCAGGAAGGACGCGCAGGTCAGCGGGGTGAGTCGCAGAGCAGGGAGGCACCCAGGCATGGCCCAAAGCCCAGGCTGCTCCCAGGCCTTTAGCAAATCTGACAAAACCTGATATTTTTTAGCAGACCAGCCGCAGAAAGCAGTAGGGAAGAGAGGTGTGAACCTAATAGGTGACCTGGATGTCTGAAAACAGGGAAGAGAGTGACTGGGGTGGCAGATGGAGCAGCTGTGGAAAGCAGGCTGCACTTCTCTCTCCCATCCTTACCAAGCAGCCAGGACTGTGGTTTGGGGGAGGCTGATCTGCCCAGTGCCACCTTGATGAGGTTAAGTCCTGAAAAGCTGGGCTGATCATGGGGAAACTTGCAAACTGAGAGGAAGGCAGGGCTGATGGAAGAATTCGAGATAGAAAGGGGTTGGTGGGATTCGCAGGCTCCCCCAGGTCTCACTGGACACCTACTTTGATTCTGGTAGGAAGGACAGCATCCTTTGCCGGGAGCAGCACCAGGACGAAGACGACCACGGTCAGCAGTGCCAGCACGGCCGCCCAGCCCCAGCCCACCGCCCTGAGCAGGCGCGGCGACATCGATAGGCTCTGGGGAGGTCTGCAGGAAGGGATGGATTGGGGAGGGGTCACTGGGGAGGGATGGTCTTTGGGAGGTTTGCGGGGAGGCGTGGTCTCTAGGAGGAGGGTCTGCAGAGAGGGACTTTGGGCAGGGGCGGCTTTTGGGCGGAGGGTGTGTGGGGAGGGAGGGTCTTTAGGAGGAGGGTTTGGGGGGGAGGGATGGCCTTTGGGAAGAGGGTTTGGGGGGAGGGATGGTCTTTAGGAGGCGGGCCTGTGGGGCGGGATGGGCTTTGGGAGGAGCATGTGCGTGAGGGATAGTCTTTGGTAGGATCTTTGGGAAGGGGGACGGGGAAATCTTTGGGAAGGTCTACGAGGAGGAAGGGACTTTGCCAAAGGAGCCCCAAGCCTCCTGCCTCTGCCCCGAGCCTCCTGCCCCTCCGGGGATTCCCTTCTCCCTGTAGCCCGTGGTCGCCCCCACCCCCTAAGTGACCCCCTGGGACACGAGCTGGGCGAATTGGGAGACCATGAACTTGTCTGGCCCCGAGCCGCTGGGAAGGGGCAGGGGCGAAGCTCCCGCCTGCCGCGATCCAGCCGTCCCGTACCTGTGCCCGGAGCCCTCTCCGTCCCTCCGTGGGGCGGCGATCGGGGCACAGCCCGCTCCCCGCCGGCTCGGGGCCCACGCCGCCCCAGCGGAGCAGAGCGAAGCGAAAGCGAAGCTGAGCCGCTCTCGGACGTCCGGGTCCGGCCCCGGCCGGGGCGGGCTCTGGGCGCTGCCGCAGGCGGAAAGAGCGGGGAGCTCGGGGTGGCCGCTGCTCGCGCCGGACACCCGGCCCCGGCCTGCCTGTCCCCCTCCCTGTCCCTCTGCCTCCTCCCTCCCTGTCCCCCTACCTCCTCCCTGCCTGTACCCCTGGCTTTACCCTGTCTATCCCTCTGCCTGTCCCCTCCTTGTACCCTGCCGCTCCCTCCCTTACTCTGCCTCCCCCCTGCCTGCACGCTCCCGCACTCTGTCTGTTCCCTGCCCGCACCTTTGCCCTATCTGCCGGTCCGTCTGCCTGCATCTCTGCCCGTACCCTGCCCGCTCCCTGCCCGCACTGTCCTAAAGCCACGGGACTCTGGCCATGGACAGGTGCTGGCCATGGGGACAGACCGGACCCTGGCAATTCGGGTAGCTCCCTAACCGTGGGGACAGCTCGGTGCCTGCTTGTGGGGATGGATCCCACGTGGATGGCTGTGGGGATGGATCCCACGTGGATGGTTGTAGGGACAGCTCCTCACCTGCCAGGTCCTTCCTGTTTCTGTCCCGAGCCCCGCTGCCAGCCTGGCTCGGCCTGCAGCAGGACAGCGGGGGTCCCGCAGAGCCGGGTGACAGCCGGGTGACAGCAGAGTGACAGGGCAGGCTCGGCCCCTCACGGCGTTTGTGCGGCAGGTCTGGCAGGGGTGTCTGAGGCTCTCGGAGCTCAGCTGCTGCCTCCGGCGCCAGGCGCTCGCAGGCTCCGGGGGCCGGGGCTGCCTGGGATCTCTCTGTCCCCTCGCTGATCTGCGCGGGCAGCGCAACCCCCCCGCCCCCGGGCTGAGCGTGCCAGGCTGTGCCGCTCCTCCAGCAGCGAAGTGGTTAATCCCGGATGCTCTTTCCACCCCGGCTCTCCGGCCCCAGCCCCGCTGCCTCCCGGACAAGCGCTCTCCTGGGCAGGTTGCTGGTCCGGGGCCAAGGGGAGGGCCACGCCGGCGAGGCAGCCTTTGTCCCAGGAGCGGGCTCCCGGCCCCAGGTACGCGCTGAGCCCGGGCCGAGCGCGGCGGGGCCGGAGCGGCGGCCGGAGCCAGCGGGGTGAGCCGGGGCAGGCACGGGGGGAGCCGGGCCCGGGGGCTGCTGCCCCTCGATGGAGCTGGGCTGGGAGCGGGCCCCGGGCAGCAGCGGGGCGGTGCTGGGGCAAACACGCTCCGTGGGGCGGTGCGGGAGGGCGAGAGGGCCGGGGCGGCCGCTCGCCGCACGAGGTTCCCAGGTGCGGGGGGCAGAGGGGCACGGAGGGCACAGAGACCAGGCACGGAGGGCACTGCCAAGCCCCAGCGCTGGTGGGAGGTGGGATGCAGGAAACTGCTCTGCCTGGCAAGGATGCTCCTGGCATCCACAGTCACCCTCTTAGAACTTTCAGAGCCCTTTTCGCTTTCAAATCCCAAATGTGCCCAGTGGGAAGTCAGCCCCCCCATTGTCCTGAGCAACAGGCAGTTTAGATCCAGCAGTGGCTCTGAGCCTTTTGCCCCAATTTTGAGGCCCTGCTCCCTGTGCACAAGGGATGCTGCAAGTGAGGGATGTCCCACAGGTGTTTGTCAAGCCCTTTATCATGGCCAGCCCTACACAAACAAGTGCAGCCCTGCTCCAGCTGCTGGGCACAGCTCGAAACTTTGCACACCTGGAAATGGGCAGACACTGTGCAGCATCGTGCCTCCTCTGCAGCCCTGGAGGCATCAGCACCACTCTTCTGTCCTGCTGCTCCTGATCCTGCACGGATGGTAGCAGGTACTGGAGCTGCCTAGCCCCGGGATGCCACAGAAAGCCTAGGCAGATCGATCAGCTTCTCACATTGTTTCCCACCCACTGGGCTCCCTTTCTGTGCCCTGTTGTCCTGCCTGGGAGAGCCTGCTCTGTGCTGCCTTTGGGTGTTGCCCCCTGTCCAGTCAAAATGGGAATTAGTCCCTAACAGAGCAGGAGGAGCGCATTTCCCACCCTCTCCTGCATGCAGCACAGTGCAATTTGTCACCAATTCGTGTCCTTCCATTTCACAGTGCCTGGGATAGAGTTTTCCAGGATGTAGGCTGGGCTGCAGACTTTTCCCATGGCTTTGTTTGTTACCTGGAGCAGATGAATCATATCCCAACGGCACAGTTATAACTGGGCAAACCCCAGCAGGGCTGGTAGGGGTTTGCAGATATGACAACTGGGGACATAATTCACTGGTTTTCTTGGTGGTGCTGGGTTAATGATTTGAGTCTGAGATAACTTTGAATTGATAACCACTTTAATATCTCAAAGAGGTCCTTAATGATTCCTTGTTTCTATGACAAGGATTTATCAGAGGATTCCATACAATCTCTTCATAGCCATTGTAGAGGGAAGGCTTCTGGCTATAGGACAAGGTCTGATAAGGGATTTTGGTGGTCCCATATCCCATGACATGGGCCCAAAGAACAGCTGCTGTTCGTTGTTGTGCATCTCATGCCATGCACGAGATTGGTCACCCTTGCTCATTGCCAGAGATGCTGACTCCAAAACAGGAATCAGCATCTCCTTTGACCTTGCCAAAAGTCTTTTCTCTCCACTGGCCTGGGAAAATGGCAGGGGAATTTCTCAGGGATTTTATGCACTCACAGGAGAATTGTGTAGCCAAGTGACAGCTCCAGGTTCCACCCAAAGCACTGGTGGGGTTAAACTATGCCTCTGGTGCCCAGGGCTCTCAGGCCACCCGCAGGTTTTAGCTGGAGTATGAAGCAAGGTCAGCCTCAGCAGGATACAGCAGGCATCCTACCTGTATGGCTCAAGGCACCAAGCAGGGCAGTGCAGGAGGAGGAGAGAGAGCCGTGCATTTCAAAAAGCACACCTGGACCAGCTGTGAGATGCTGAGCACATGGATATCTCAGCTGCCCTGTGCAGAGGCCGTCACAGAGAACCAGACTCTTTGCTTTGCTACAATTTCTTAGGAGTATCTGGGGGCTGTTTCTGATGGGAGCTGAGCTCTGGATGGACAAGTGGGAAGTGCTCCAGTCCCCAAGGACAATCGCTGTGGGCATTCCAGCCTGGCTGTGTGTCCAGATCAGCAGGATCTTCCTGCCTCTGCCCTCCTGCCTGCCCTTGGGGCTGCAGGAGAGGTGTGGGGATAACAGCAGGCATGGACACTGTCCCAGTGCATCTCTTACATGCTGTGGCATCAGCAAGAGCTGGGCCAGGCAGGAGACACACAGCTGGAGATGCTGTTTCCCTGCCTGAAGCAGAGAGGACCCTCTCAGGGACAATCTGGGCCTGCTGGGCAACAGATGGGACCTGGTCCCAAGTGTGGTGGGATGGGTTTTGAGGTGGCAGCATGTGGGTGCTGGAGGGATGTGGCTCTGCACCCCAGAGAGGATGGTCACACTGGTACCCTGCCAGGCCACGATCCTGCTCCCAGCTTGGAACTCCAGCTATCCACAGCTGGGCTTCCCCCAGTGATGCTGCTGTGAAGGAAGGTGCTGATTGCCAGCCAGGCAACAGCTTGAGCAGGGCTGGGCACAGAGGGACCTGAGAGGCTGCAGGTGAGAAGGCAGGGCTGAAAAAGCTGTACTGAAAATCCTCCAAGGAGGGAGTGCTCAGAATGGCAGTGTCCCAGCCCTGAGGCTGCCAACAGCCCTACTGGGATGGGTCCAGAGGAGCCCGTGGATATTATCCTCTTCCATGCTAAGAGCAGCCATGTACCAGAGAATGGCTTCATTGTCGGGAAGGGGAAAGTCCCATACCCATGCATGAGGTGTGAGCTGGGGGCTGGGGCTGTCCCTGCAGGTTGGAGGAGGAATGGGCTCCAAAGCCAAGGCCATTGCCAGTCTCCTGGCAGCCACCTGTGTCTGCAGCATCATTGCCCTCATTCTGAGCGTCGTGAATGTGAAGGATGTGCTTCTGCCCCCCAGCACCAAGGTAGGGTCCTCGGGAGGAGCACAGCTCTCACTTGGCTGCTGGCTACCGTTGGGTGTTGGGTTTTGCCTGGGTTTCAGGCAGGCTGTGCTGTTTGTCACCAACATGGGGACAGTGCCCTGCACAGACTGGAGCAGGTCTGGCTAAATTTGATCACTGTGCCTGGGCCCACAGCACATGCAGCTTTTTCATCCCAAAGCACTGCCAGCTCCAGGTGCTTGGGATGGATCCTTATCCCCAACACAGCTGGTAACTGCAATGCCACCAGACTTTTTCTGTCCTGGAGAGCACCAGTTTTGTTTGGCTCCCCTGGCCACTAGAGCTCCGATGACTCTCCTGGAGCTTCTCTCACTCTGCAGCAGGTGACACTGGTCTGCTCCCCTGACACCCTGTGTCCCCTCTCCTCCCCAGCACGGCCTGGTGTTTGATGCTGGCTCCACACACACGTCCCTCTACATCTACCGGTGGCGCGCGGACAAGGAGAACGGCACGGGCATCGTGTCCCAGGTGGAGGCCTGCTCTGTGTCCGGTGAGTGCTGGGATCTGCCCTCCCTCTCCATGCCCACCTCACCCGGGGCTGGCCAGCCTTGGTGCTGCCCTGCATGGCTGTTCCACACACTAAAGCTGATTCATGCCAGGTGTGATAAATGCTAATTTATCTATCGGGTATTTCTAAATACCCACAGGGGTGTGTATTCCTATTGCAAAAGTTCTGTGTCAGGCTTTGGCACAAGGACAAGTTTCTCTGGAGGAAATGCCCACTCTAGAGAGCAGATCTAGAAGCAGATAAATGGTACATGGAGCTGGTCTGGGGCTAGCAAAAGCCACCAGGCCAGGGCAGAGGTGCCTGGGCAAGGAGAAGAGGGCTCAGAGCTCACCTTGCCCTCATGTCCCGCTCGGCAGCGGCAGCATGGCAGTTACTGGTTAACTGCAAAGGTCAGCCCGAGGGCAAAGTGTAACGCAAGGGCTGCTTGGGCTAATGGCAGTTATTGAGTCAAAGCTCCCGGGAAGATA